ATACAAATCTCAGAAATCACATGGGTACGGGCGCATACTTTGCAACGCACACCCTCGTTTTTCTTCCGCTGTGTTGTACCAACCAATTGAAAGTACGAGCGCAAAGCATACACAACACTCGTATAAGGAATGGCTTCTGCATCAGCCAAGGCTGAACCATCTCGTCTTCAGACTAATTCAGATACCACAGAGATGTGTTCGCATCACGAGCAAAGCCGGTCCACACGAACACCGTGCAGAATTCAGTGATTAGAGCACTACTGGTGGCTCAATGATGAAAGAATTGGTTCAAGGATTAAGAGAATTGCTGCTCAACGCGCCGCTACATGCCTCAGCCCCGTCTTGAAACAAATCGCGCATCGTCTCCTCACATTAGCTCGGATGCCTGGAGATATTTGTGCATCATGATGCGGCTTCTGGTTGACAACGGAAGATTTGTCACGAAGTGGTGCGCTGAAACAAATGCAAAGACTTACCCAACTCAACAAAAAACTACACATACATCGCAAATGAAATTAACCCCATGGGTGTGGCACTACGACTGCATCAAGCTAAGCTTGGAAACGCACAGAACGGTTCCCCACACACATTCTCAGAAATCACAAGGGTATAAATGCATATTTTGCAACGCACACCCTCGTTCCATTTCCGCTGTGTTGCACCAAGCACTTGTAAGTACGAGCGCGAAGCATACACAACACTCGTATAAGGAATGGCTTCTGCATCAGCCAAGGCTGAAACATCTCGTCTTCAGACTAATTCAGATACCACAGAGATGTGTTCGCATCACGCGCAAAGCCGGTCCACACGAACACCGTGCAGAATTCAGTGATTAGAGCACTACTGGTGGCTCAATGATGCATCAGCCAAGGCTGAAACATCTCGTCTTCAGACAAATTCAGACACCACAAAGATGTGTTCGCATCACGCGCAAAGCCGGTCCACACGAAAACCTGGCAACAATCACTGATTGAGACACTACTGGTGGCTCAATGATGACAGAATTGATCCATGGAGAGCAATGCTGCTCACCGCGCCGCCACATGCCTCAGCCCTGTCTTGAAACAAATCGTGCATCGTCTCCTCACATTGACTCGGATGCCTGGAGATATGTGTGCATCATTTGACGCGGCTTCTGGTTCACAACGGAAGATTGGTCACGAAGTGGTGCGCTGAAGCAAACGATAAGACTTACCCAACTCATCAAAACTACACATACATCGCAAATGAAATTAACCCCATGGGTGTGGCACTACGACTGCATCAAGCTAAGCTTGCAAACGTACAGAACGGTTCCCCACACACATTATCAGAAATCACATGGGTATGGGTGCATACTTTGCAACGCACACCCTCGTTCCACTTCCGCTGTGTTGCACCAAGCACTTGTAAGTAGGAGCGCGAAGCGCACACAACACTCATATAAGGAATGGCTTCTGCATCAGCCAAGGCTGAAACATCTCGTCTTCAGACTAATTCAGATACCACAGAGATGTGTTCGCATCACGCGCAAAGCCGGTCCACACGAAAACCTTGCGAACATCACTGATTAGAACACTACTGGTGGCTCAATGATGAAATAATTGATTCAAGGATTAAGAGCAATGCTGCTCACCGCGCCGCCACATGCCTCAGCCCCGTCTTGAAACAAATCGTGCATCGTCTCCTCACATTGACTCGGATGCCTGGAGATATGTGTGCATCATTTGACGCGGCTTCTGGTTGACAACGGAAGATTGGTCACGAAGTGGTGCGCTGAAGCAAACGCAAAGACTAAGTGGAACTGAAACCAACTACCAATGCTTCGCGCTTGAAGCCCATGAATGTGGCACTACAGCTGCATCAGCCCCAATTTGAAAATGTTGTTCCAGTTCGGTGTTGCTTCCGCCCCCCGCGACTGTGAGCTTAATGATCGAACTCGAAGAAGAAAGAGAAAGAGGGCCGCGGGCCAGGCAGGCTGCGGGCCAGGCGGCGGCGGCGGCGGAGGGTAGCCCTCTTACCCTCCCCCCCTTTCCTTCTCCCATGTGCGCTGCTTCGAGAGATTCTTAGTTAGACTGACAAGAAAGAGAGAGAGAGAGAGAGAGCGAGACAGAGAGAGAAAGAGAAAGAGAGACATAGGGAGAGACAGCGAGTAAAGAGAGAGAGAGAGGTTGGACCCCCCAAGATCTACCTCAGAAGCGTTGTTCGCGATCCCTCCTTGTCTTCTCTCCCCCACGTGGCCACTTTGATTAGTATCATCTGCCCCTGGCCTTGCGGCAATCACACCAACCCCATGTAGTATGCCCGCAAAGCACACACATACACTCACTGATTGGCGTCGCGGCAACGCGCGCGGCGGCGCGGCGCAGGGCATGTCCACGGGTAAGCGAGAGAAACGCGTAAGACGCACTATGACTGGCTTCTACATCAGCCAAGGCTGAAACGTCTTGTCTTCAAACTAATACAGATACCACAGGGATGTGTTCGCTTCACGCGCAGACGCAATCCCAACACATGTGCACGGATGTGCAATGCGAGACCACATACACCAGCCCCGTCTTGAAACAAGTCGGTTAGCATGTCCTAAACTTGGCTTGGATGCCTGGATGCATGCATACATACATACATACATATATGAATACATACAGACAGACAGATAGACATACATATACATATATGTATGTATAGGTATACACCTGTGAATAGTTGCGTATATCTACGCTGTGCACCACAAACTCAAACTCAAGTTTAATCAGTATGGTTGGTTTCACCACTATCAATATCAGTCGGAACGATTATGGCCCTAAATGGAGCACTCCGACAGCATCATCCCCGTGCTGAATCAGTATGGTTGGTTCCCCCACACCTCTTCAAGTACCAAATGGAAGAACTACGCATGGAAGAACTACCCCAATCAATTCCGAGATCAACCCTTCTCCAGGCCATCCATGCCAAGCCCGCCCCGGTCAACCCCTCCCGCCCTGGTTAGGGCAATCCACGCAAACCCTGATACCAGTGAAATGTGTTCACATTACGCACAGACCCAGTCCACACGAAATCCTGAAATAAAGAAATGCTAAAGCAACTACTGCGCAACGTGGCAATACATGCATCGCCCCCGCCTTAAAGCTAATAGCAAATTGTATGCTCGCCTCTACTCGGATGACTTGGGATGTGAATGCATCATGCAGCGTGCCATCCAACCGACAACGGACAAACAAATGGAATCAGTGTACCGCAAATCGATGAAACGGGCACTGCCGAAATCACTAGCTGCCTGCCGCGACGTGGCGGCAACGCCTGCGCCTCATGAGTCGCACGCATCAACGCCTTTTCGCGGATCTTCTGACCCGGGTCAATCCAGACCCGGGTCAGTCAGGCCTTGCAGCATCCTGCAAGGTCCTGCAAGATCCTGCACCCAAACTCGGGTCAATGCGAAGGATCCTGCAAGATCCTGCAGGATCCCTGGCCCTGCAGGATCCTGCAAGATCGGGCGCTCTGGCTGACCCCCGTTTGAATTGACCCCTGTCTCGAGGCTCCCGAAAGAGGTGCGGGGGCGGCTTGGCCGGGGAAGCGGCGAAAGGGGGGGCGGCAACGCCGCCAAGCCTGCCGCGACGGCGCAAGAGGGCTCCTACACGTCCAAGATGCCCCCAAGACTGACTAGGAAGCCCCCCCAAAGGCCCCAAGAGAGCTCCAAGAGAGGGCCCCGAGAGGCAGCAAGCATCTTGTAGTCCCCTTGGGATTGTTCCATGTGCTTGAAACTTCGCCTTCTCGAGCTTACGACCTCTGCGCCCACGTGGCGTGACGGCGGCCCGGCCGACGCACCCACCGCACGGAGGCTCGGGAGAGGCGCTGCCTCGAGGGCAGCGGGGGGCAGCGGGCCCTACAGCGCCCTAGCGCCGCCGCGGCGGGCCGCATGGCCTCTTCGCGCACTTGTGGGTGCCCTGGCGAACCATCGGGAGGAACGAAAGGGGGGGATAGCAGCTAGCAACGGGTAGGGTAGAGAATCACCTCACGTAGCTGATTTTCCAGCGCCTCCCCTCCCGGCGCCGGGAGGGGCCCGTGTATCGAGGAATGGGCCCGGCGGCGGGGCCGAAACCAGCTGCATGCAGCAGATATCGCAACCCCCCTGTCCCTATCCCCCCCCTTTCGTTCGGCCCGGAACAAGCCTACGGTGGACTCGTGTCGTGACGACCCCAGCGATGGCTGCTGGCACCGCGTGGATCGCCAATCCTCGAACGATCGGCGGCATCTCGATGACCAGATCGCCTCAACACTGGCCGACTCCGTGCCACTGGCGACGCTCAACCCTAAACGCCCGCGGCGGGGCCGCCGCCGCGCCGACGAGACGCGAGCCCACCCTGCCCTTCAGAGGCTCCAGGGCAAGCACCGTCCCGACAGAGGCGAGCCTGAAAAACCTGCACCCAGAGTGGGACTCGTAGGGCATCCAGAGTACTGCTGCGCTCGGCCCTCGAGACCTCAATAAGTGCTTCCACATCTGCAGCGGGTGTGCCGGGAAGACCTGGCTGCTCCACCCCTGGCACCAAGCTCAGTCCTGAGGGGCAACGATAGGGGGGGATAGGGATAGGGGGGGAAACATCGACCTGGAATCGGCGATACATTGCCGGTAGATCGGCGGCAGGCCTCCGATAGTGAATCCGCACCTTCCTGGGCAGGCTGGGGCTATCGGGCTCCTATCGGCGATCGATGGGCGATTGGGGGTCGATGCATCCCCCCCTGTGCCTATCCCCCCTATCGTTGCCCTGCACGGTTCCCCTCGAGGCCGTAGGCGACCCGAGGAGTAGTAGGAGGAAGAGGAGGAGGAGGAGGAGGAAGTGGAGGAGGAGGAGGTGGAGGAGGAGATGGAGGAGGAGGTTGAGGAGGAGGAGATGGAGGAGGAGGAGGAGGTGGTTGAGGAGGAGAAGGAGGAGGAGGAGGATGATCTCCTCGGGAGGACCGTGGTGAAGTTGCAGAGCCCTGTCGTTCCTGATTGGACCGCGCGCGGGGGGGGGCCGCTCCACCTGCGCCTCGTGCGTCGCGGGGACGCCCAGGTGCGAGCTGCCTCGCGGCGGCGGGGGGGCTCCCGAGGGGGGGGGCTCTGTGCGCGCGCGCGGGCGCGGCCGACTGCGGCTGGTGGGCTCCCCGCTCGCTGGCCTCGTCGCCCTGGCCCGCACCCATCCAGGCCTATACATATGTACCAGTATAAATATGTATATACACATGTATATATGTATACACTAGAATCATCGCGCGCTTCGCGCGCGCTCAAGTTCTAGCAAGGCTTGATCGGCTAACTCATGTAATCTCACTTTGGTCGCTTCTTGCGTCCAGGGACTCCCTTGGAGGACATGCGCAAGCCTCGGAATCGTATAGAAAGGGAAGTGCGGAACCGCAGAAATCATTCACTTACTTTAGGAATTCAACGATTTGGGACCCTCAAAGGCTTCCTGGGTTCTTTTAGGGAGGTGAGGGGGGTCTGAATTGTGGTCTGTTGTGCAAGAGTAGACCGGGGGCCAAACTTGAACAAAAAAGAATTGTGGGATTTTCATGTTTTCCAGTTCCTCGGCGCTGTTCGGTGTTGTTTTTTGTTTGTGCCTCGCGGGTTTTGTTTGCCGGGCCCCTCAGGGGTGTGGGATCTTCTGGACCCCCTGGGGGTTCTGGAGGCCTCCTGGAGGCCTGGAGAGCCGTCGGAAGGGTGTCTCGGGCTGCGCGAGAGCGTGTTGGGCCATTCTTTACGTTCTGGGGGCTCCTTGGGGTCGTCATGGGCTGTCCTTCGGCGTCTTGGGGTCCCCCTCGGAAAACCAGGAGGCGCGGTACCGGCCAGATGTCATGGGATTTGTAGGACCCCAGAGTAGGAGTCCGTCCCACTTTGAAAAAAAAAGGATTTCTGGGAATTCTTCCCTCATTTACTTCTGTTTCTCAAAATTCTCGAGCTTCGAGGAATGGAAGCGGGAAAACGGGAGAAGGCGAAACACATAAGAAACACCTTGGGGAAATCAGCGATTTTACCCTCTTTGGGCTCTCTCGGGACGGCTCTCGCAGCTCTATCTTGGAGCCTCCCGGGATCTTTTTGGGGCCTCTCAGGGATCGGGGGTGTGTTGGGGGCCTCTGGGGGTCCCGGAGGCCTCTCGGAGGTCTCTGGAAGCCTCCTGCTCCCGCTCTTGGACTCATCTTGGGCCTGTTCTGGGGTGGTCTGGGGCTGTCCTGGGCGCCTCTTCGGCAATCTTGGAGCCTCCTTGGCCCGTCTTGCGGCCGTCCTGAGGGTCTCTCAAGTGGTCTTGGGGCGGTCTTGGGAGCCTCTTCGGCGCTCTTGGACCGCTGAAAGCTCGAAAACGCGAGACGCCAAAAACATTGAAACACCCAATGCAAATCTACGATTTTGGCCTCTTCGGGCCGTCCCGGGACGCCTCCCGGACCTCTCTTGGGGTCTCTTGGAGGTTATTTGGGAGCCTCGAGAGCCGTCGGAAGGCTGACTTGGGCTGCTTGGGAACGTCTTGGACCATCCTGTCGCATTCTGGGCGTTCCTGGGAGTCGTCTTGGGCCCTCCTGGAGCGCTGTGAAGTCTCCCTTTAACGCCTGGGGGAGCGGTACCGGGAGCGTCCCCGAGATGTGGCGGGGAGGTGTGGCACCCAGGGCCGGGGGAGGGGCCGTATTCATATATATATATATATATATATATATATATATATATGTATATATAGAAATATCGAATACACGACATGCACATACATGTATGCATACATGCACAGTTATACGTGTGTATACATACATATCCATCTACGATACACATATGCCTATACATATACACATCCATGCATACGCATACATATACAAAGATACACGTATACATACATACATACATATATAATAAATATATGCACGTACCTGGGCCGATGCTTCTTTGAGCATCGTCTGACCGATCCCTATCCCCACGGGCGTGGCCTGGACCCAACTGGCCGATGACCCCCCCTAAAAAAGGGATAGAGGCTGTATGGATCGAGTTTCCAGGGCCAGATCCCCAGCTGGGGTGGTGGGATGGTGGGGACCCGAATGGGGATGGAGATGGGGATAGGGATCGGCTAAACGATGCTCATTGTTCCAAGCTCCCAGGAGCTGCAACCAAATTCCCCCGTCCCCCCACCACGCTCGATACCGCTGACGAGTCCTCTCTCCTTCGGCGGCCAGGGTCTCCCATCGGCGGACCCAGGCCGCGCCAGTCGCGCGCTGCCGCCCGAGGAGGACAGTGCAACTCAAAAAATCCGAGGGCCGTCCGCCCCACCCCCCCGCCTGATGTTGCCAGTGGTGTCCCTGGCCCAAGCTGTGGCGCCAGGACTTTCGGGGATCCACCCGGGGCCTCCACGGAGCACCCCTCATCAGAGACAGGGGGCCCAAGGGGCTCCACAGCGGACTGAAAAGCTGCGGACGCCGCGCCCCGTGCCAGGGACACCTTTGGTTAGCAGGCCACCCCCTCCCCTCTTCCCTGCCGGTCCTTCCGTGGGGGGACAGGCAGCTACTGGCGCCGCTGCTCCTGGGACCTCTCCAGGGGTGCGTTCTGACCAGCATTTCACGGCGACTCCGGCCGTGGCGACAGGGGCTGTCCAGGAAAAGCAGCCACGTATCGGTAGATGGCCTCCTCCTCCGAATCTGTGGTGCTCGAGGGACCTGCTGGTGCTCCTGGTGGCCACGCGCGCTTCCTGAGGGGACGACGGTCTCCGAGCGTGCACCCCCGCGAGACTTCGGGCCCCCCAGATCCATGTGGCGACGGACCGCGTGGTGACCTCGGAATAGAAAGCAGAAGAACCACCCTCATAATAGGCAGCCCGACAAGAACAGCCGTTGAGCCAACGCACCAAAGGAAGGCATCGAACATGACAGGGCAGTTTGGTCAACGCCGAGGACGTTTAGTAAACGCCAACGATGGGCGGTCGGGGCGTTTCTGTTCCTCCCTTGGCGAAATCTCCAATGACATCACCGCGGGGTCCGTCACCGGAAGGTCTTGGGACCTCGGAGGCCCCAACCGCCCGAGACATCATCTGTGTGAGGGGGAGGGGGACCGAAGGACCGAACCCACCCCCAAAGTGTCCGTAGGTAGACGTGATGAGGATGATGGTAGTTGCCCTCTTCACCCTCTGAGTACGAGTACCTGCATCCGAGCCGAAAGGGGCGATGGATATGAGCAAGATAGGAGGAAAGTAGGGGGATTCACACACACCCCCCGTCCCGATCCCGCCCGATGCCCACGCACAAAGGCGAAAGGCACCGAAGCGGGGATCGGGATAGGAGAGTGAATCTCCACTGAACTCCTGTCTGCAATCCACTGCTTCAGCCCAGGAAGGAAAGAAGGGACAGCCAAAACTCTGTCGTAAGGTTCGCACCCAACGGCGGCGCTAACCCGCAAACAAAGTTTTACAGCGCCTGCCGCCGAGATAGAACCCAGGACAGTGCTGTGGGCTGGAGAGAAGTGGAATGGAGAGACTGAGCTCTTATGACACCGACCCAAACGGTCGGTGCCCGAAGCAACACATGATATGAATGCAACGATGTGTGCAATGAGCCAGATCCAATCCAAAGCAAAACGCAAAACATTGAGATATGAGGAGTAGAGCGCATGCGCAAGTTCCAAGAAAATCTTGTACGTCTTGCACCAGCAATGAAGAATCAAGTGTATTTATGCAATTATGCTTTTTCACCTGTTTTTGCAATTGTGCATTTTCAACAGTACATGCAAGACAATCATCTTTGTGGCTCTTTAGGCCGTTTTGTCAAGACTGCAATCGATAATAAGGTTGTCACCTGCTCTACTATCGCGAAGCTAACGTCCCAGAGATAACGCACAAAACTTATGCCATCGCTCCAACCAAATTCTCGGCGTCTGCTGCAAGAAATGGTGAGTAGGCTGGTTGCGGTACCTTTTCATATACAGCTGGGCCTGTCCATGGTGACAAGTATGGTTTTGATATCGACCAAGATGTGAGAGGCACGTCAAAAATCAGAAGAAATTTGGAAGCCATCAAAATTGTATGCAGATGTCATCGTCCATCATGATGTGGTGCTGGTATGCTCTGATGTCCATGAGGTACAACTGCCGAGCCTGCGTAATCAGCGGCGGCAGAACCAGCGGCACGCCATGGGGGCGCCATAGGAGGCGGAACCATGGCTCGAGGACGCGCCACATGATGTACCGTAAGGGGAGTTGTGGTGTGTAGGAGGGGCAGGGTCGGCCTCCGCTCCCCCTTTCGACGTGCCCTTCGCAGCGCCGTACTCGCTGCGGTTGCCCGCTGCAATTTCGGCGTCCAGATGGGCAGCACCCTTTATGACATCTGTTATGTAGTCAGACCACGCACGATCGGCGCTCGGGAGAGCGACGGCGTCTCTGGTCTCCGGACCGAGAGTGGGCGAATGGAAGCCGGGGCCAGGATCCAGCGATCGATCCGCGTCCGATCGGCGATCGGGGTCCCAATCGACCGGCTGATCGGGCTGGTCGGCGGTGGCTGAGCTCGCGGCTACCTGCTGTCGAAGGAGGACACAAAAACAACCTGAACGCGAGGGAGGCGTCTGCCTCTTCAGCACAGGGGGGTCCGAACTAAGAGCCGGGGTCTTGATTTTGACCGTCTGTCGAAAGAACAACGGCTTAGCCAGAGCCAGCGGGCTCCTGCTTCGGGATTTCTTCAGCCGAATCGGATCCGGAGAGTCCTGGGAGCGGGGAGATTTTCCGTGCCGGGTCGTTCCTGGAGAGTCCCGTGATCCGCGCCGCGGGGGCAGGGGAGGTGGGTTTCTCTTCCTGTGTCCAGATCCTCTGGGCGCTCTGGTGTCCAGATGCTCTGATGGAGCAGCAGCCGGGCGTGTCCTTGAAGACGTAACAGAAGCATGCGGCTTTTGAGCCGGAGCTGAGTCATCCCCTTGCCGTGGCTGGTCCTTCGTGGCGCCGCAGCACGGACAGTGCCCCCCCGGAGTCGGTGGAGGCGGAAACACTAACTCCATGTTATCGGCGTCAACGTGTGGTATGTAGTCGCGAACAGGGGCCTTCCGTGATGGTCCACCATCAGGTGGTGAGAGAACACA